ATGATCTCATATTCAGACAGGAAAGTTATCTGCATCTGATTCAGAGATTATATTAACTTCCATAATTTTTTTTTATATCTATCTATCTATCTGTCTATCTATCCATCTATCCATCCATCTATCTCTGTATCTATACAAGGCCAAGGTTTTTCACTTTTTTTTTTCCCCCAGCCTGTGGAGCCCTAAGTTTCACCAACCCATAGGAAGGACAAACCTGGCCTCAGTGTGGTCAAAAGCCCAAATTCAGCCAGCCCGGGCTTGCAGCCCCGGTGCCGAACGCTCCCCAGGGCTCCCTGCCGTGGCTCTGCGCCTCTCCTTTCTCTCGTTCGCAGTTGCCTCCCGTGGCTTGACATGGAAGGAAAGGTTGTCATTTCTGACAGAACCACACACAGAAAGTATGTGAAGCATTTCCATTTCCATCCAGAATCCTATTTCAGATGTAAAAGGCCAAATAATAATGTAAAAAGCAATTTTCTATCCACTTAATACATTTCCATTGAACCGAACCGTAAATATTGCAAACCAAAAGTATAAGGAAAGAAGCGACCAGTCGGCACGTACTGTGATTCATTGACAGCTGCACAGCATTCAGAAATGAAAGAAAATAATAAAATAAGGTATGTCATTGAAAATCCTTCAAATATATTGACTGGAGACAGAATATATTTACATTGAAACTTCAGTAAATAATTAAATGCGTTCGTGTTTGTAGAACAGCAGACTCGGAGATAAAACCGCTAAAAGACATGTAGACTACATTCTTTTTAGCTACAAACTTATTTTGGTCTAGAATCTGTAACGTTTGTCAGCAATTATATTTGAAAACCACATTTCCTTAAGGTATCGTGAAGCTTGAGTTTTCCACTTAAACACCAACCAAGGCAAGGTCACGGTTAAACTTGTTCTCCATGGCCTACACCCACCTATGTGTATGCAGGTGGATTTAAACATCCATCCAGTACAATCTAGTTGTAGTGGACGGAACAGACTTCAAGAAGGATTTATATGACTCGGTACATCCAGGATCTAACAAAAACATGATAAAATCCCCCCAAAGCCAACATTGTTTTGATTCCTGAGATACTTCTCATGTTCTAACTCCCTGCTCCCCTAGAGACAACCATCATTACAGTGGACAGAAATGATGCCTGAAAGCGAGATGTCCCGCTCCTGCATGTTCTTCTATAAAGTGTACATATACAAAACACAAACAAAATCTAAGCAATATTACCTGAAAATAATTATCCAAGAAAGGCAGTATTTCCGCAAATACTACCATGCAAAACTAAATGGACTTTAGGAGAAGGAAAAAAAAAGAAAAAAAAAAAAAGGTCAGGCTCAAGAACAAAAGCCAAAACGCCGACTCTTGTGCTGTGAGTCTACGCAGCACCGGGTCATTTCTTGCGCTGCTGAGCGAGTTCAGCCCGGGCTTTACCCTCTGTACGGAAAAGATGTTTTGAACTCCACCGTGTGGACAAAAGGAGGTATGTTGCAGCCTCAGAAAAGTTTCTTACCCAGTTTATTACTTTCCTTAGGCAAACTGAGTAGTTCTGTACATAGCTATTTGAAGAAAATCCCAACACGTTGTTAGCAGATGATAACGCAACTTGCCATAAAATATAACAGTCTGACCCTGAACTAGAGTGAAGCTTAGAGAGCTTTTAAGAAAGGTTTAAAACGTTTTGTCAAAGATATTTCAGTTCAAAGTCCTGTTGCACGTAAACATTCCCAAATCAGAAAAACAGCTTGTGCTACTGGAAAAAATTATCCTCTGTGTTTAGTTCCTTGCAACGCGTACTGCAGCACAGAGTGCTCAAAACAGATACGAAATGGATAAAGCAAATCACAAACCAGATTAACATCACCCTGCCCTCCCTGGCCAAAAACTAAGACAACATCAGCCTGAAACTGCAAAGAAATTTCAGGGTCCAAACCTGAAAACCATGCAGAAGCACGTTTCCAGCTCCAATCTGCTTTCAGTTCTACAAATATAGAGTAGGAGCAAGCCAGTGTGAAGTAAAGTTAAGCTGGGATTAACTCTGTTCTACCCCAGTGAAGAATGTGGCATCTTTAAAAAGGTATCGAGATAGCCCAAATAACAAAATACCCGTTTTCTCACGTGATAAAATTAAAGTGGGCTTTTAGCAAAATAAAAAATAACGCAACAAGATAATTACCAAAGTTACCTGCAAACAAATTCAAAGCATTCAAATACACTTTAAAAAGACCTTTAGATTTGAGCCTATAAAAAGAAAAAGGCATCTGTAGGAAACATAGATGAAAAAATAAAACTTCTTCAAATATAAAAAGTGTTTTGCTTTCTGATAAGTTCAAGTAAATTAACATACAGCAATTGCATCCGGCAAATAACAGATGCTGGATTTCAGCTAGCTAAAAGCCCCAAAATATACAGATACCACTAACGCGGCGCAATAGTCTACGTACAGCCTTCCAGGTCGGGGGCTGCTTGGAAACCTCTCAGTCACGCGGATACTCTTTACAAGACAGCACCCTTTTTGATATTATCACAGAAAATGAAGTTGAAAATTAACTTAAGAAGTAAAAAAATATTTGGCTTTTTACATATATTGGAATTACTAAAGTAGTAAAAAGAAATCAATGAAAAAAATGTTCATGCAAGATACCTGACCAGCAGTTCATTTGACTGAAAGGAAAACAGTATGCAGGGCCCGGTCCTCCGCTGGTGTATATACACCCACATACGCATCGGCGCACGGCCCCTGGCTTTACCCGCTGGGCTGGCAGGCCTGCGGCCCCGACAGCAGCAGGTGCCTCAGGACAGACAAGCGCTGGGTTTCAAGCCGCCTCTCCAGTTCCCGGTGTTGGCACAGCTACGGCGCTCTGAGGACCAGGTCTGGAACGGCGATCAGTACCACAGAGCACATCAAGACGTGCTCCGTGGGCACAGGGGGTCTGGAACGGGAGCGGCACGCTTCGAGCTAAGCGCAGGCGGGACGGCTTGCTCCCAATGCACCGCCACCCCCGCGGGATGGAGCGGAGGATGCGCTGGCCCAGAGAAGGGGCAGTTACTGCCGCCGAGGGACAGCGAGGGACGAGTGGAAAAGGAAGCATGAGGACTGTGGTTCGCCTGCGGGCTTTCACCCGTCCATCCCCATCCTCACGAGGGACAGACGAAGCACCCTGAAGCCCCAAGGGGTCCCCAGCTGCAGGGCGTATTACAGCTCGCAGATTCCCTTCAGGGGATGGTTTTGTGGTACGCCACAGGTTTCTGCTGCCCCCCTTCCTGCTGCCCTCTCCTGTTCCAGGTGTTTATTCTCAGCCTTCGACCTCTGCGCTTGCTTAATCATTGCTCTTTGCCAAGCACCTCCTTCCCTCTAAACGCCCAGCTGATTAGCACACTAAGTGGCACCCCGAGGTTGCTCTTAGGGTGTGCTTTCTCTCTCAGAAAGTGTGGCTAAGGCTTGCCTGTGCGCCCCAGCTACCCAGGTTAACTCTATTACCTCTTCCTCCCGTCTGGGTACAAGTGCTAGGAACTCTATTCAGAACAAGGGCCAATTTGTTTTGCTTTTTTTAAAAGACTCCCACCATTCATTCCTTACTGTTTTTAAGGAAAAACCAGAAGTCAGACAGATTAATGTCTCACAACAGCATCTCTGGAACCCAGCACTTCCAATTTGGGAACGCCTCCCTGGCGGCTCAGCACTGCTCAAGCACGGAGATCACCAAACCCACTTACCAGCCTGAAGTAGGAGAGCACAACTGGCTTCCTAATGGTGGGGCAAGGCCCTCACTGCTGCTTTGGCACTACAGGTTTATTTTGAGGTTGTGGGTTATAGCTGTCCATGTTCTCTCAATAGCACCTTCACTTTCTATTGCACTGTAGCAATTCCTTAGGACTAATCTAGGATCATCTGTTTCCTAATAATCAGGAGTGAAGCTTCAGCCAGCCCTCCTCCCTCTGTATGATTGATTTTCAGAATCTCCTTTTCAGAATCAGCCTCCGTATGACTGATTTTCTCCATCTTTTCTTTTGCGCAACCCTTTGAGCTCTATAGAATTTACACTTTGTTCTGTTTTGTTCTTCATTGACAATGTCTGGTCCTGTAGGATTTACTCAATGCCTGCAAACTGCATGCAGTCGTGCTCTCTGTAGTACACCTCTTCAAGGAGGGTTTTGTAATTTTTCTGAATTTCTCTTGAGCTCGATTTTTTGCAACCAGTTATTAGGACCTGTGAGTTTTGCGTTCTACTGTTTCCATGTCCTTCTCAAGTTTGTTTTGGCACACAATTATTGCAGGAGGAAGAGGAAAACTGTGCCATCCGTAAGATTAGAGGCTTGTGAAGTTCCTTCTTTGACTGTCTCGCTGTGTACCCACCACCTCTGCTCTAAAGCAAGAGGTCGTCTTTGCTGTAAGCAGACATAACGGCAGAGTAGCTTGGTTACAGGCAGCGATACTACACTTACCAAGTCCACATAATGCTTGGAAGACGTGCCAGTTCTCAGCTAGGAACACCACCACCAGCCCCTAACGGTTTAATATCTGGCACATACGTAACCATGACTAAACGAACGTACAAGGCCTCAGTTGGGACAACATCCAGGCAGGAGAGACGCTTCTCGGGGCTACACCTGGCGAATTTCCAGTCAGTCTGACGCTAAACGTTGGATGGGGTTAGAGAGATCATAAACACATCTTCGTTTCCTTCTTTGACTTCTAGGAAGTGACTGAAACGGTGGGTAGCGTTGGTGGTGCATGACACGGACCCGGTTCAGGAGGAGGGCCGCGGGCCCCTCGAGGGCCACGAACGGTTAGTCT